TTTGTTTTGGTAGATTTGTTACTGTACCACAATTGTTTATTCGTTTCATGTTCATGTATCAGTTTGTCTCGTTTCCAACGTGATTGTTATGTATATTGAATCTGAATAAAGATTGTAAAAAAAAAATCTACCAAATCGTACAAACACCTTTGGCGAACGTTTTCGTGCCTTAACATAAACACTATCATTACACAAAGTTACAACGTTAAAATTTGCTCTATCTCCAGAATATGTGACCTAGGCCTATTTTCTACCTTACACACATGTGTAGTCATTAAAACATAAGTAGGTCAACATCCCCAATATTACCGCCCTTCTTAATGTTACAACGATAAGCACAAGTCAACTGTGTTGTTCCGTCTCAGGGGAGCAGTATTATCTAATTGGTTTTAGGAGATGAAAAATTACACCCAGTTGAGTGAATCAGGGCATCTTTGCTTGAATCCTTGAACGTCGTACACAAAATCGATAAAAAGAGTACTCTACAGGGCGACTTTGACTTCGGAGCTGTAGTTATGTTGCGCAGAAGGTAAACATATTTTCTTTTGCTCTGTTTCTTCTTCTTTTTCTCAAAAAAAAAAATAATAATAAGGTCAGCAGCCTGGACCGCACGGCTGTCAGACACCCTGTGGAGTTATGTAGCAAGTGGCAGGAGTTGGAGGGGCTGGTCACTTAATAATAAATTTAATGGTTTTTATTGTCCAAACAGTACCCGTGCAGTCGCAGCCTTTATACGGCTAAACTGATGCAGGGTATCACATAATAATCAATACAAATCACAACAATTACAACAATCAAATAATACACATGATACACATATTTGTTCCACAATTTGTTTTTTTTTAACTGTCGCAAGGGTCTGTGCGGCTGCCATTCGGCGCCACAAGGTGACCTCAATACGACTTTCCCCAACCGAAGTTAGGTACCCATTAGGGTTAAGTACCTGGGTGAAGTGAGGAAATAGTCATGTAAAGTGCCTTTCACGTGCACCTTTCCCAAGGGCACAACGTCGGGGCGCATGTTCAGACATGTACTGGGTACGACTCGGAATCGAACCCTGGTCTCCCCGGTTCATAGTCGATTGCTCTAACCACTACACCACCCGACGCCACTTAAAATTTGAAGGTGTTCCAGTAAGCAAATACAGAGCAGTAGGTTGTTGGGCTAGACTATGTGAAGGTAAACATTATGCATTTGCTTTGCAAATGTTACCATTCTAGTTATCTGAATGCATTTCTATGACAGTCACACACAACCCTAGGCAATAACGACAAAACCCTAAAGCTATGAAGTACGTACACAACCTACAAGCACCCCCCTGTTAAACAGGGCTTAATACTCACTGACACAAACATTTACACTGGAAATAAATCTCTAGGCAGTAAAAACGTGCTTGCCCCAGTTGATGGCCCGTGCACATTTAAGTAATCACCGCCCTGATGCCAGCATGTTCCGCCACGTGTCGGATCATCAGCTCCTCATTTGTTGGTCCAGTGTTGATGACACCAGCAGTCATTACAACATGCTAGCAATCAGAAAACGGGCTTCAGAAAACACTACGTAACTAGAATTCGGAGATCTCAGGCCTCCATGAAATATTTAGATCTTGTGTGATGGTGACTGTGTTCTCCAGCCTCTACCAGGCTTATGGAGCTCGAGGCGGCTGGAATGAGTAGATCTAGAAATCGAAAAAGAGAGATAGCATGCCAGGGGAGTTGGTCTACTGGAGTGAAGTTTCTAGGGAGCGGCAAACTGTTCTCTCCAGCAGACCAACGCCCCTGGCATGCTATCGCTCTATTTGGCCGATGTCTACTCTTTCCGGCCGCCTCCCGAAGCCTGGTAGAGGCTATGTGTCCTCTGCTCATTCACCATGGTATCTACAAGTATTACTTTATCCGTATATTACACCGAACGACCTGCTAACGTCATATCATGCATATAGTCAGGACATTTTCTTCTGTCTCCCAGTGACTGTAGGTTTCTTTTCATTTCCATGACGCTGCGGATAGACACCAGAAATACCTGAACAGCTCCAATCCTAGGTTTTAAGCGGGTGGTATTTTTGTAAAAACAAGTGAGAGAGGAAAACAGAAGTTTAACAGAATGGTTCTCACTTTTATAGGAACTGACGAAACATTTCTCCTGAAATCTGAGTGGATCTCAGGTATCAATTCTCTACCTTATAATGCAGTAGTTAACACGTGGCCATATTTATCAAGGTGTTATATGTCTCCAATATTATAAAACATTTTACTATATATGAACAAAATGCAAGCTGATAATTTACTGTAGATCTCGGTATTTTTGCCATGCTCTTACTAGTATTTTCACGCTGACCACAACCTCGACTTCATAACGCCGCAAATACTACATATTTCCAATGCATTACTACTGATCTATACAGACTTGTTTAATCTACAAACCCATGAAAAAACATCTTTTTCCTTCTTCTACTGCGAAACTATATCTCAGCTAAAATAACACAATTTACAGTTCTCCTACACTGTTGATCTCTATATAAAAAACCAAGATATCCAGTTGTGGTTAGTGCCTTTATTAACACTTTTATTGTTGACAATGTTACAAAGGCAAGACCTGTATATCACTACAGGTTTTAATATCCCCTTATGTGTGTTGTACCTTCTTAACACACTCTATCCTTCAATACCTCAACACTTACTGTATACAAAGACGCATGTATCTGTGTAATACATATACATGTATCTGTACTACCGTACTAAGATACGTTTTTTGCTGGAGACAAATTCCCAAAAAATATAGGCAGGGTAACAAAGGTAAACAAAGTGTTATTGTTCATTAATTTAATGAACTGAAGGGAAACAGAGACCCTCAAATGAGCATTCAAAACAACTTGCAGTAATCTGTAATTCAATCATCACAATAAGTTTTAACAACTTAAATTTGATAAATCTTATCTCTGTTATGCCTTTATCAATTCTTTTGTATTCAGTATATCAGTGGAAAGCTTAATTTTTATTACCCCTTACAATGATATTCTATTTGTTATGATCATTATACTTGTATGTGTGGGTCTTCTTTACTTCATGCGTTTAGAGTCAGATGTACTTATATGTGATCACATGAAATTTGCAAATCAAGAAATGCTTTAAATATTTAAAAAATAAATGGCCAGGGCCAAGACGGAAAGAATTGGTGACTTAAATTGGGCAAATAAGACTGAGTTTAGATGCACAATAATATAATGTATCATGCACTCTTTCTTATAAGCTTACAGAGCTTGGTAGGTATGTTGTAATTAAGGGTTAATGACCCGCCCCGAGGTGAATATGGTGTGATAAAGCCTTGTCAGTTGCTATAACCACCGAACAAAGCCATCGAGTGAGCGACAGCGTGAAGCGAATACTTGTATCATGCTGTGACATTATGGCGTCATAATCAATATGGAATGGGGGCTTCTGATTGGTCAACTCCACCTGGCTATATGATAATAGTTTTTATCTAGCAGTAATACGTGCGGTGAAGAATTGCGTCACTTTGTTTCATTTGACCAGTCTTTCCCTCCTGACATCTGCTTGGTTTCCATTCATATGGTGACATACCCGACACCCAATCACTTAATGTGATACTGTGTTGGAAGGGAAATTTTGAATCTGTTCTGAGATGCACTCGCTTATACATTATGAAATAACGTGTAACAGATCTTTCGATGGCCACAAGAACATTATTGAATGGACCTATACCATTATTACGTCACAGTTTGTTTACCGCAATGAATGTCGGTCAATCGACGTTTATATTGTACAGGGGTGCGTAGCGCGGTGTGTGTTTGTGTAGCGTTAGCCTAATATAAGGCTTTTAATACAGTACTACTTTCGGTACTACTACCCATGCGGCATGTAATGCTGTGTCAACACAACTAGATGCAGCAAAAAATCAGACATTTCTTACTTTGAAAACTTTGAAATGATCTTTATTCTTTGACCGTTCTAGAATGTTCTTTAGAACAGGTAAACAAACTGTGACGTAATAATGGTATAGGTCCATTGGGCAGGCAAGATCCATTTGCCAGACAGTTACCACTTAATTTCACCACTGACCAAATTGATACTGTCTTTGGGTTCACCAAAAGATCTGCTTGGAGATTACTGGACCAGGTGAAGTCAGCTCAATAGTCATACTCCTATATTCAACCTTTGAATGTACATGTACAAATGTAGGAGCATGGCAATATTGGTATCATTGTAAAGGGTGACATCCACAAATAACTTTCAAATTTCACTCAGGTGAAAATGAGTACCTAGCTTCGGTTAGGGGCGTCTTATCGGATGGGACGTTAAAATGGAGGTCCCGTGTTTGAGGAGAGACACACCTCAAGCACGTTAAAGAACCCACATGAGCGGAAGTGGAACAAACCATTATGGTCTAAAAAGGGGTAGTGAATTTTCCCGACCAGCCTCGTAACCCCTGCTTCTCCTATTGGGTCAGTTAGTCCTCACTACTTGTGAGGATGTTTCTGACTCAGGGAGAAGAGTTGCTGTTACAGTTCTATATCTCTAGCTCTATACCTAGAAGTGGCCAATGGCCTTGCATTGAGCGACACCGTTAAAAAAAAATGATACATAGAACTATCCAATAGATGAAGCGAAAGCAGAGATATGACTCATCAAATTAAGTTTCCAAATGTTGTGTCATGTGTATGACGTATTTCTTTGTCCGTGAACATTTTTAGTCTTTCTATTCGATAGATTCTTATATTACAATCTATGCATAGCTTCCTGCAAAACCTCTTACACAAAGATTACATGCATAATATCATACAAACATAGGTTAGTCCTCAGCATAAAGCTTCATCTATTCACAATTATTTACATGAATGCACGGCTCACTCACCACAGTACTATTGGTGCAGATGCATATATCAGTGTTATCCTAGAGGGGTCTGTATGTACTATGTGACAAATGTTTTGTGTAAAAATTCAACAAAACACATTGTGTGTGTCTTCTTTACTAACTTAAAGATACAAGTTAATATCATATCTAAATATTTGGGTTGGAAGGTATCCAAATTCCACCCGTGCCCCTCATGAATTATACTGACATGTGCACGATATCCATACCCATTCCTCTCCTCTTTCTAAAATCATTTTTCCTTGTAGTTTCTATGAGCCAGCAGTATGTATCATATGTTTACAATAAGCCGATGCACGGTTTGAACTGTGCATTCTCAAGTGTGATGCTTTGTGGGTAATATGTCAAATTTGAAGGCCCCTGAGACATAAACAAAACACATCTGGACAGGCATAAAGAACATTCTAGCCATGACCAGCGTCTGTCTTCTCAATTTTACCACTTACGATGGTTGGCAAATTTGTCATCTTTGCTGGACGAAAGGGTATGGAAAGATAATCTCCAAGCAGATCCCTATCGGTGGCAAAAAGACAGTATCAAATTGGCCAGGCAGTATCCATTAGCCAGAGAAGGTCCGCGGCCAACGACGGGGATACCGACAAAAAAAACCCTGCGATATATAAAAAGGTAACGATCATTCCCCAACAACCTCTGCTTGGAGAGTAATGGAAAGAGATGTCATAAGACTAAGCTTACATGTAGTCAACTAGCAAAATTTGCCACTCAAAATTCCTGAAAATAGTGTCAAGATTTAAAAGAGTTTTCCAAGGGTAGCATGCACCTAGCAAGAAATCGGACTGTTTGGCTATGACAATAGTACTTATCATAAAGATGACAGAAAAAAAATTAAGGCTGGCTTGAACACTGACAAAAAACGTTAGCAAGTTAAGGGCCGCCACCTTTAAATTTGTGAATGCACAGTTTAAAATGTGAACTGACTTATACCTTCGAAACTGGCCATGGCAGGATGTCAAATTTCGTCCGAATTCCGGCCAGCTGTTGAAATTATCCACAGCTTTCTGAATAAATAATTACATGTAATACATGAACACATTGTACACAAAGGTTACACATGTTCCGTGACCCTCTTTAATCCACAGGGCATGTTAGCCCAGCGCGGATATAAAAGTTTTTATTAATAGGTGTAACCTTCTCGATGACATGTAAGACTTCGGCCATTCAGCCAAGTGACCTGATTTCTAAATGCCTCTAGGATTACTCTAAGTCTAGTAAAAAGAAGCTTTTAAACCCTATGTAATAGAATCTTTTGTGTACCGTCCATTCAAAACCTCATGCAATTCTAGATGGGATACCCACAGGTAATGTGTCTAACTCCAAGTAGGACAGAAGGAAAAAAATTAAGGTGGAGCTGGAAGAAAGCAAAAATCATGACATCAATGGACAGAAAGAAAACAAGGCAAAACATTCACCTAAAATCATGCTAAAGTCTAACTTGATTGCAATGACGTTGACATCTATGCAGTGTAATCATTGCAGGAAAATGGACAGAAGTAGAACAGACCAACCCCACTTCCCTCAATTTGTAGAAATGTGAACATTTGATGGAGGGAGATGCAGTCACTCTCTCATTGGTCGAACAGCTAATTGCCGTCCTCTCATTGGTTGAACTGTTAATTGTGATGGACTGACAGTCTTGTTACAGAGGCTGGGATCATAGATGCTGCCACTCAATGGTAGCAAAGCTGGCATTGGCCTCCATGAAGTGCACCACCTCCTCAGGGATGGAGTGGGCCAACCACATCTTCTGTAACTTCTTGTATCTCTCCTGACACAGGTACAGGGGGTTTCCTCGTCTGGATAGGGCATAAAACTATATCAGAATCTCCACTCAGGCCTCAAAATTAACTTTTCTTCCTATTGTCCCAGCACTGTCCCAAAAATAAATTTCAATTGTACCCAAAGTGAGAATGAACTGTCCCAAATTGTTCTTTTTTTAAAGTATTGCATGACGTAAACTTGAAGTCAACTTTATTTTGCTTATGTTCACCAGCTCCCAGGTGCACTATAATTGCAGAATGGACAGGGAATTCAGTGGAGAATTTTCTGGATCCAAAAGCTGGGACCTGTACCTGATAAACAAAAGAAGGACTGACAATCTGATGATTATTTTAAAATTTCTATTGTCCCAAAAATGTCCCAAAGTGTCTTTTTAGTTGTCCCAGTCTAAATTTTCGTGGTCAGTGGCCATTGGACCACCTTTAATTATGAGCCCTGCCAGTATACCAGTGTTCAAAAATGTCATAGCTATATAGAGACACTCAACAAGACACTCAATGTATAACTTTTCACCACCAAAACCCAGAAGTGACAGTGGGTAAAGGATGTTTGTGTACAGGGCCGTGAAACCCTGGAATTTTCTACAAACTGAAATAAAGACCACATCCCAGCACGTCGATGAAGTTGACAGATGGTCATCGTAATGTTGGCTCTCGTTTAACAAAACTTTGCCATTCAATCATTCAACAACCAAAACTGATGCATACTGCAACTGATGGAAGCTGTGAAGAAGTAGTTCTCTGGACCTACCTTAGTCCCTGGTCATGTTCCCCGTAGTCATCCAGGTACGGTGACGGGTAGAAGCAACCTTTTGTCTTGCCGGTGAGCAGGAGGATTTGGCATTCCCTCACCCTGTCAACAACAGTTATCAAGACTCAACTTCAGGGTGATAAATCAACTTCAGGGTGATAAATCAACTTAAGGGTGATAAATTAACTTCAGGGTGATAAATCAACTTCAGGGTGATAAATCAACTTCAGGGTGATAAATCAACTTCAGGGTGATAAATCAACTTCAGGGTGATAAATCAACTTCAGGGTAATAAATCAACTTCAGGGTGATAAATCAACTTCAGGGTGATAAATCAACTTCAGGGTGATAAATCAACTTCAGGGTGATAAATCAACTTCAGGGTGATAAATCAGCTTCAGGGTGATAAATCAACTTCAGGGTGATAAATCAACTTCAGGGTGATAAATCAACTTCAGGGTGATAAATCAACTTCAGGGTGATAAATCAACTTCAGGGTGATAAATCAACTTCAGGGTTACCGTAATAAATCAACTTCAGGGTGATAAATCAACTTCAGGGTGATAAATCAACTTCAGGGTGATAAATCAACTTCAGGGTGATAAATCAACTTCAGGGTGATAAATCAACTTCAGAGTGATAAATCAACTTCAGGGTGATAAATCAACTTCAGGGTGATAAATCAACTTCAGGGTGATAAATCAACTTCAGGGTGATAAA